TGAAGGCCGAAAGGGCTCCCATTTCGGTGAAAATGCCGACTTTATTCACTTGAGTCACGACCGCATCCAAGACCTCACCCTTGAATGGTCTGAAGACTATGGCCTTGTATTTGATGGCATACGTCACGAATCCAGTGCCCGATTGGATAACACCGGCGCCGATGTTGTCGATAGTCGTGACTGCGATAACGAACCCATGTTTGCCACTACAGGTGCCCTCCACCTCAGCGAACAGCTTCTGGCGCACGGTGTCCACCAAATGCGCCCCAAAGTACCGCGGATGCAGTTGGATCGAGTGCTCCAGAGGAATGTGGAAAAACATTGTCTCCACAGATATTACCACCGATTAGATGACAATTAGATGACAATCACTGCAATCACTGGCAATACGACAAGAGTTGTTGTGGCCGTAGGCGTCACACAAATAACGTGCACTCAATACAGGGGAGGGGAGAGCGAGAGCACAGACTTTGACTACAAATAAAAGTTGTCAACACTTTACACGTTGTTTATGTTTGGCCCTATGATTTGCTGTGTTTGTGTGAAATCAATGGTGACGTCAATAGAGAGCATAGAAATTGCAGTGAATTTGGTGGAGCTTTGAGTTTACATTGAGTTTGCATTACATTGTATTGAATGCAATGAATGTCTTATTGTTGTTATCATTGTTACCATTCATTGCCACCAATTGTCGTCTTCATTGAGTCCAACACGAGTCGCGCGAACCACTCGTCCGGTACTGCCATTCAATAGCACACCATATATGCAATGATCGCCATCTCATCCCAATTGACACACAAATTGTCGCCAATTATGACATTGTGTTGAAGACACCAATCGTTGCGCTCGTAAACCAAACGACAACTCACTGTCTCTTCGCCGTCACTACACAGCCATTGGTCTCGCGATAGTCTTCGCAGACACTGACCACTGCTGTCGCGGACGCCACGCAATAACACTTCGCCACCGATTGAGTGGACGAGACGACGGCCGACGCGATGATGGCGTCCATCGAAAAACAGTTACAAAATCTGAGACAACGTCTGAATCTGGAGAACGAGTCGACGCCGCCGTTCGGACACAACGCCAACGGCTCCGCCACTCACTCGCCGCAGACCAACAGCGCCGCGAACCACATCCCCAGCCGTCGACCGCCGCCTCCGCCCCCACCACAGCACCAAACGAGCGACCCGTCGCTGTCGACGTTACCGACGCGGACGCCGCCGACGCCGCCCACCCCTGCCTACAGAGCGCCTCCCGGCTGGACGCCGGCGCCCGTACAGCAGTTTCCGCGTCGCCAGTACTCGCTGTCGGCCACTCAGCGCCAGAGTAACCAGAATTTGCAGCTCAATCTGAGTCACGTGACCACAGCTCCCGGCGCCGCACCCAACAGCTCGCAGAGCCTTAACGCCCAGTGTCTGAGTCCGCGGCCGCGGCCCAGAAATCGTCAGTTGATTTGCTTTTTGTTTGATAGGCTGTCCACTCGTGAGCGTAACCACTGATTGTCTCTCTCTTTCTGTTGCAGTACTGATAGGCGGAGGTCTGTCCCCCGGGAGGCCGGGCTCGCCCTCCCGTAACGTTAAACCAATTCCACTGAATTTGTCGCAAAATCTTCAGCAGAACCCAAACGAAGAGAATAAGTT